GCGGAAGATGTAGGATATTTTTTTTGTTTTGAATTAGTGAATCCTGCAGTTGCAAGTGATATTCTTTCCTCATTTTCTACTTCTTCTTTCATAAATTTCATCAGTTGATCTAGACGTTTCTTCATAGAATCAGTAGCACAAAAAAATGAACTTCGTTGCCAAACTCGAAGAAGTTCTTCAGACAAGCATGATTCTATCAACGGAAACAACATTGCAGCGCATTGATCAGAAGTGACATTGAGGGATTCTAAGGAAAGAAGTTGAGTTTCAATTCTATCATACAAATCACTTAATCTAGACTTAAAATTATGATTATTTAAAACTAATTTCAAAAGCTCTCTAACGTGGACTTCTATAATTAAGTCTTCACGGCCAAAACGAGATTTTAGACTTTCAATAGCCTTGAAATAGTTTTCTCTTGTAAGAGGATAACTCTCGACAATTTGTCTTGCCTTAGAATTAGGTTCTGTTGCTTGGTTCAGATAGAAAAATTTATCTTCTATTTCTAATTCCTCATCTTCATGAATTCTACGAAATTGGCTCCAAAAAAGTAACCAATTCTGAACATCTCCTCCAAATTTCGTAAATTCTATTTTTGGAAGGAGTATTTTACTTTGAAATGATGAATTAGACCGACTACTACTAGCCCTAGTGGTTACTGTATTTAAATAATTTTCTACCTTAAATTTTAGAGTGTTAAATTGACAGTGATATTGATCTGCTTTTGCCATCTCACCATCAATGTCGATATCTTCTGAATCATTTTCCACCAGGAAATCGAAGAGCTTCTTGTCGAGTGCAGATATTGCTTCAATTTTTTGTTCAAGAAGCTTCAGATACCCTTGTACTTCTGTGATATTATGTTGTTCCAGCGGAAACTGATTCATGACTGTTTCATATACCTTCTCGAAAGACGTCCTCTGTAGATCTAACGCCTTCATCAGCCTTTCTATACCACCGGGTCCTGTCACGGTCGCCATATTTAGCAATTTCTAATTATGACCTATAATTAGGAATTAGTCAAATGCAGACCGATGAAATGGAATAAGACTTATAAAAAGATATATGACTCTGACAAAAACGTCTGACAAATCTATTTTTTTTATTCTCTCTATCAAACATATTACAAAATTCATGGCAACAACAACATTACAAAATTCATGGCAACAACAACAATACAAAATACAACAATATTTAACAGAAGCGTTATCATCTTTCTAGTGATGCCAAGGAAATAGTTCTAAACGTTTATTCTGGTGAATAATTATAATAATTATTCCCATATGAATCCAGGAAAAAAAGCCTTGCAAAAAAAAGCCGGGGAAAAAACATTTTGTGCATGTAACATTATTAGGCAGATGAAAAATTTCAAAAAATTATAATAAATTCGATGAAAAATTAGTAGGTATACATTGAACAATAAAAAGTCAAGTAACTAGAAAACGGCAAATTTTATGTAAACTTTTTGTATAAATTTTAAAAGTTCTATCGAGTATTAAAGCTCTGATACAAAATACTGAAATTCCATTTATGTATACATCATTTAGTATCATCAGACTAGTATGCAAATTTAGAAATAAAATATGTAACCTATTTACCTTCTTTAAAGAGCAATATAAAACCGAATGTTATTGAAATGCATGGTACATATTAAACGAGATTAATATTTAGACTCTCCTGTAATGTGCAAAAATATTATTTTGAAAATTCCACACCTGTAATTTTGAACCAATCAAAATACGTGTTTTTGACAGATCACCATGGCAACGGAGGTATTTTAGTGGAAATTTTTTTCTCGTGGGGTACCCAACAGCGAATTATACTGGAAATTTTTTGACGTTTACAATAACAGACCATTTTTGACAGACTGGTTTTTATTTGTTCACATAATAGGTTTAGTTTTGATACATTTTAGTTACAATGCTAAGGTGTTTTCTATATTCTTCGGCCACTTCTTTTCTTTTTAATGGCGAAAATGCAGGACTTTGGATGCTTTGAATTATGTGTCTATGTCTAATAAAATATATATAATATTTAGACACTAATTTATTCACCTTTTTCCCATTCAGCACTTTGAATTTTGCGTAGTTTAGGTGCAAATATTCGTGGACAATTCGGATAGTATGAGAGCCCACTGCAAATTTCGACCGTCATCTGATAACGAAATAAAATATGCTCCAAAGGCATGTAACAACATTGTACTTTACCAAATTGCACCTGTGCCAATCCCTATCCTGAGCAAAGTGGTTAAAAAAAATATTTTATATTTAAAAAATCACATAAAACATGACAGCGACAATTATGTTTTCCCTGAAAATTACAATGCTAATTCATTGTGAACCTAGCTTTTAAACCTGAATTATTAATACTTTTACCTATCTTTTAAACCATGTTTATGTATGAAAGGAAGAAGGATGGCATTGTATAAACCATTTGCAGAGATAGTCAATAATAATTATAAACTTTCGCAAGACAATTATTTTAAACCATAATCATAGTAGTTTTTTGTCGTTTCTATGGCAACCTGTAAAAATGAATCACAAGAATAGGCATACAAATAAATTTTTAAATCAGCAAACATTGATTCATATTTTTAATGATATTTACCTACTAATCGTAAATAGATGTTTTTGTGCGATGTTAGGAGGAAGAAAATGTTTCCCTTTAACTATATATATCAAGATATGTTTGAATGTTATTTTCTGGAAAATTTTAAGGCCAAACAAAATTAACGCTGTCAAGCCTTATGTGATTTTTTTAATATAAAATAATTTTTTTAAGCCACTTTGCTCAGGATTGCGATTGGCACAGGTGCCATTTGGTAAAGTACAATGTTTTTCCATGCTTTTGGGGTATATTTCATTTCGTTATCAGATGACGGTAAAAATTTGCAGTGGGCTCTTGGGCTAGGAACAAATTTTCGTTTTTCAAGTTGGAGCCACAATCCTCTATTAATCCGAGTAAGACAATTTCACGCATATTTTGCATAGCGTATGATTTTCAAATCGATTCATTTTTAAACAAATAGGTAATTTTGTTGGTTTTACTTGCTGTGCAATATTCTTTATCGCAACAAAACGCGAGTTATTTAATGTTTTGAACTGTCAAAATTCAATGATCACAGCCTCCTACGATTGATGCTTGCTGACGCTGGTTATGAATTTCATACCATTTTAAAGCGCTCATAACGCATGTTAATAAAAACGCAGAAAAACAATTTTCTACCACTTGTAGTTATTCAAAACTTACGTAAAATTAAAGAATATACTATTTTCAAATGGTATTCCCATGCAACTACAATGAGTAGAAATAAGCAATTTGAAGGCCTAAATAATTGCAGCGAAACATTTTTTTACGTCGGGCCGCTTGACAACTTCAAAACTGAAATTATATTCGAGGTTAGGGTCTCACTTAGTTACCATGACAACTCAACAATCAAGGCGACAACACCTTTTATGTTTCACTGGTGACTTGGAGAAAATAATTTGCATTGTTGAGAAACGAAAAATAAATTTTAAAAATATTTAATTTTCAACCATAATTCGGCGTGGAATTTTCTTACCGAATACCACGCAAGGTCAAATTAATATCAGGAAATTTTTTGACCTCTAGTGGTATTACTAGTGAAAATTTACTTAATATAACTGAGAAAATGATCAAACTTTGAAAATGTATGTTCACCCTTTTAGGACGGAAATTGTTCTGCTGAGATATATATTGTGTTAGAGTGTAAATAAAAATTATCTGTGTTATTCCATAAAAAAAATTATGTCTTCCTAATTGACGTCTGACAGTTGACCAATGAAGTACTAAGATATTTTAAAATAATGTTGATAAATCGTGAGAAGTGGACTGGATGGAATCAATTAGTGACTATGAAAGTGATTTAGAAATACAGACGTTTTTAAATTCATTTACCTACATTTCCACAACATAAATCTAGTGAAACATATTCTTTTTAAATTAATACTTAATAATTTTAGTCAGTTTCACTTTTCAATATGTTTTTTAGTTGAACATGTGTTTGGAAATAAAACCTTTGTTATTTTTTTTAATACAAGTTCTCAGCGTGTTATATTTTTTATGTATTTTAAATGTTATTAAAAATCTTATGTACATATTGTAAATAAAATATTTTTGAAATGAATGAAATGAATGTTATATTTTTTCAATGCAATTTAGACCGCAAAAGGATCTTTGTAGAAATCAAATTTTAAAAAGTATCTATAACATTTGAACAAATAACACTCAACCTAAGCCGGCTCTGATCAGCATGTTGGCGAACGATTTAAGAGGTTGCCAGATCATTGCGCTTTCTAGATTATCTTGCAACGGACTATAAATATGAATGATTGGAAGAAGCAAGCCACAAATAGAAAGAAATGGAAATAAGTTATAGAAAAGATAGAAGCCAAACTTTTGATTTTTTTTAGTACTGTGATTATTTCGACAAAAGTGTTGTATTTTTAATAAAGCGAACAGAAGTAAACAAAAAGGTAGAGTAGCGTCTCTTTATAAGTTACTTTTATGTTCAAAATAATTAAAAATGTTCCTCTGATTTGTCTTGTTTTATTTATTTTTTTCTTTTCGAGAACGGACTTTTTTAAACCATTTTTCTGAGTGGTACATATGCGTACCACAAAAAATATTAGTAGTACAAATCAGGGGCGGCTCGTGACCAAAATTTTGGGGGTTCACAGTAGCAGAATATAGATCCGGTACAGATATAGGTAAAAAACTGCCAGTGTTTTAGAAAGGTATATTATAAACTTTCTAAAACACTGAAAGTTTTTTCATACATCTGTACTGATATCTATATTCTGTCACTGTGAACCACTATTTACCAACAATTTTCATAAAGGGTTGAAACAAAATACACCTGTCATTAGAAAATTGCACATAGTTTGGACATAAATTTCTTGAGAACTATGGTTGGAATAGTGTCTAGTATTGACGACATTAATGTAGACATTATTTTGCTAACATCTAACTTTACTTACTGTAATTGTGGAATTATGCCTGGATCTGCTGAATGAGGGGTCATGGGAGTCATTGGCGAAGGTGTCGAGGGTCCCATGGTGGGTGTCACACCAGAACCTGTTGGTCCAGAACCACCCAAATTAACCATAGGACTCATCATGGTGTGTTGCTAAAAATGGAGATAAATATTGATTTTTTACATGAGCGATAAAAAATCTAATTTTACAAATGGGTGGTGTAAAAAAATAGTTATATTTGAAAGAATTAAAAGACAAAACACTTCTTGAGCAAATTTAAATAAGCAATATTATCCACTGCCCAAGAGCAAAAGAAATATGATGAATCAACAATCCAAATAAATATGAAGATGAAAAAAAACAAATTACTAAAAAAGATAAGAAACATTGAAATTTTATTAGCGAGTCTGGAGATACTAAACATTTTGATATAAAAGTTATATTGAAATAATCATTAGACCAGTGATTATGGATAAACATGAATGCTGGAAGAATGTTTTATCCAAAAATTAAGATTCACAATACATACTATTAATCCAGTCTAATATGTGATGTTATTCACTCGTATTCAACCTTACCTAAAGAATTAAATTTTGGGTTTCAAGGAAAAGTCGATTTTTCATGAAATTTTGAATTTAAAGGAATGTCAATGCCTAAGGGGGAGAAAGAATTGACATCATACAAACACCTGTGTTATCCAGATACTAATATCTTGTTGTTATGCAAGATTAACTCATTTCTAAACTTCATTCCCAGTTAAACCTATGCAGGTATTCTTTTACGTTTTACTAAAGCGAGAGAAATTGATTAATGAGAAAGCATTTAAAGCATATTTTGATAAAAGAGTGGGTCGAAAGAGATTTATATTATTTTATATTGAAAAGAGCTATGTACAAAATATCCATAATCCCAAATGATGTAATATTCAACAAATTGTAATGTTAACAAGAACTAGAAATCAATAACATCATTTATAAGTTATAGACAATGCAAAATTTTAAAATAGGAATAAAGATTTTGTTAAAAATAATTAATTCACCGGCCTATTAATAATACAATATTTCCAATTAGCTATTAATAAGTTTAGACAATGGCCATTTATAATTATAAAATGGTAATGGGATATTGTAGAGATAAAATATCAATATTAATTCATTTAATTCAATCACCAAAATGCTTTATTAAAAGTCAAGACATTGGTGTTTTTGACATAAATGATAAAAATAATTACAGTAAATGTTAATTCGAAAGGTAGCAATAAAAAGAGGAATGATCTAAGTTTTAGAACGTTTCAAATAAAAGTTGCAATAGTTTTAGCTGAATTGATCGTCGCATTATCAAGAGAGTAAATAAGAGAGTTTAAATCAGCTAGATAATTACAATTTTTAGATGTCATGACATTATAAATGGGACAATGAAACAAAATGTGGTGAATTGACTCATTTTCATTTTTATTGCAAGCTGTACAAATTTCTCTAGTATTTATTGTGCATAACAATCAATTTAAAGTGAACTTTAGATTATATTTATTACTCAGTCTCAACTGGGCTATAGTGCGAGTAATCTGAATAGGAAGTTTTAGGACAAGATAATTTTTAGGCTTATGGTTGATTGTAAATACATTGTAAAAATTAAGGAAAGATGATCTTTGCACCTTTGCTGAATCTTCGTTATGTAGTTTGTCATAAAATTGGGACAATAATGTTTTTTATTTAGTTTTAGAGTTATATATGAAAGATTGTTCCAAATAATGCAAGCATCAATAAATTCAAATTGACTTTTTACTTGCATGGCCCAGTTTAACATGCGCTTCTGTTGGAAGAAACAGATTTTTGGAAGTCTGCTGTCATGCATAGATAACATTTTGAGTAACCAGTTAAGGGTCATTTTAAAAATATTATAAAGAAATTTAACTCGGACTGTTTCAAGTCTTATTACATAATCCAGTGTATTGATTGGCACAGATAAAATTCTTGTTGGTTTGTACACGCTCAAGTATGTCACTATATCTTAAATCCCAAACAGGAATGCAGTTTGTCATTGTGCTTATAACCAAGGACTCAAATAATTTAATTCTTGGGAATATTTTCTTGGAAGTAAAATTAAATAATACATTATAACTACTGAAGAGTATTTATCATTGCTGTATAGTAGTACTTAATAGAGCAAGTCTATTCCAGTTAATAAAATATATTATATTAGGACAAAATTAGGTTTAATGGTACAATTGTATGTGACAATCCTAGAGTTATTTGACACCTGATTTGCAATTTAATATAAAAAATGTACATGGTTAAAGTTATTGTATACAGCGACTCCTAAATATTTTACTTCAGACATATTATATTCTAGATCAGTATTATCATTTAATTTAGATTTTGTTATTACAATCATTAGTTTTCTTCACATTTAACATATATTTATTACTAAGGATTTAATATTTTTCATAGAATTTCTGAGATTGTTTAATGCATTAAATATATAATCTACAAATAAATTCAAATTAAAAAAATGTCATATAATAAACAGAAGTGGTCACAATACACTTCCTTGGAGGACTCCAAGATTAATATGGACTTCTACCCTAAGTAACTTTATTTATTTTATTATTAGTCAATTGGATATATTATTTTTTACATCATATAAAAAATGGAAAGTCATATCAAAAAAAATAATAATGTATTTATTTTTTAATTTGCCTTAATCTCTATCTTTAGGAGGTGGTCCATGAAGTTCCATATAGCCATTGTCTTCGAAATGGTAATAGGTTGAAACTGAGAATTTATGAGATACCCAGTATTATTTTAAATTATTTGAAAGTACCCTTTAAGGCAAATACAAAGATGTTATTGATATATTTGTCTTTATTTATTTAAGTATTGTTTATGTATCAATAAGTAATAGCAAAAATATCTGTAAAAATTAAAAATTTATTAATACTGAAATCTAAAAATACAAACTAACTTGGGCTCTATATATTTGACAGGTTTAAATAATTTTACTGTTCTTCCTATTAATAATAGTAACTTGGACTCTATAGATTTGACAGATTTAAATAATTTAACTCTTCTTCCTTTTGATAATAGTAACTTGGGTTCCATAGATTTGACAGGTTTAAATAATTTAACTGTTCCTCCTTTTGACAACGTATCTATCACACCCACAGTTAATAAGGATTTTCCCACAAAGTCTCAAACTCAAGATCCAAATTAAAAAGTACAATAAATATATTATATTTAAATGCTAAGAGCTTGGTGGCCCACATTGATGAAATCTCTAAGTTTAGTATGTGTTTCTGAAACTTGCTTGACTGAGGATATTTATGATTCAGAAATTATAACTTGACAGTGAAAGTAGACACACAGGGGGTGCTTTAATTTATGTACAAAATGAACTGAAGGTTTTAAAATATTTTAAATTTTGTATTCCAAAAATTTGTTGGATTGTTTCTGTGATGGTAATATTAGGAAACAAATTTTTTTTAATTGTATCTTTATATAGGTCACCTAGCAGTAGCTGTATAAATTTGTTAGATTGTTTGGCTGAAGAAAATTTATGTGATAATTCTCAAATAGTTTATTGTTTCTGGAGATTTTAATATTGACCTGTTAACTAAAAACACTTACAGTGCGAAATTAAGTGATATTTTGATTGGTACTGGATAAAAAAATATTGTTACAGAATGCACAAGACCAAATAGAAGTGGAGAAGGTACACTATTAGATTTAGTTATAACAAATAATGACTTGGTTTCAGCTGAGGTTATCAAAACACCAAGAATTTCAGATCATTTTATGCTTTTAACAAATGTGTATTAAATAGTGATGGGCGATCTGTTTTTGAAATTGAAAGCAGAGGTAAGGACTTCAATTTTGATTTAATTAATAACAAACTTTCAACATTAGCATGGAACTATCATATTTATAACATTAATGCAAAATATGATAATTTTGTAACAAATATTTTAAATGTATTAGATTCTGTAGCGCCAAAAAAACAAATAAAAATATTTCCTAAATACAAAAAATGGTGGAATGAAAATGTAAAAGCTGCCACAAGGTGCAGAGACCTTGCATATAAAAATTATTCACAAGAAAAAACAGAAAATAATTGGAATGAATACAAAATGCATAGAAATAGGACGGTTAATGTAATTAGAACAGAAAAAGTAAACACATAGAGAAAAATATTTACGAAAGTAGGGTAAATTCAAAAGAAATGTTGAAATATCTTGAATGTCTGATTTCAAAAAATAATAAGTCGAATAACTTAATTGAACTTGAACTAGAAAATGTTATTATAAAAAATATTTTTGACATGCCAAATGCTCTTAATAAATTTTACATAGACAGTATCCAATCGATTACTAGTATGATTTGATCATACAATACCTGATTATCAAATTTTAGACAGACAAAATGGATATTTTCTTGGAAAATTTCAACTATGTATGGTGGATTTTTTAAGAGACATTCTTTTTGCAATGAAAAATAAAAGTAGCACAGATGACATTAACCTTAATATTTTAAAAAACTGTTTTCTCAATCTCTCAGAACTCCTTTCAAATTTGATAAATTCGTCATTAGAAATTTCAAAAATACCTAATGCTCTAAAAATTGCTATGGTAGTGCCTGTTCCAAAGACAAAAAAACGCAAATGAAGCTACAGATTTAAGGCCTATTAGTATGTTAAGTTGTATCGAAAAAATCATTGAGAAGGTCGATTATGAACAAATTGTTAATTTTTTAGAACAAAATAAACTTATTACTACAATACAATCGGGCTTAGAAGCAAACATAACTGTGAATCAGCTATCCAGTGTGTTTTATATGATTGGAAATATAAATTTGATAAAAATTATCTAACATTGGCAGTTTTTATAGATCTTCAAAGGGCATTCGAGACTGTTGATCAAAACCGTTTGATAAAAAAATTGAAAAGTATGGGTATAGTAGAGCAAGCATTGGAGTGGTGTGTGGATTATCTAAGTAAGAGGAAACAAAAGTTAAAAGTAAATAACATTTTGTCAGAGGAAATTAACTATATCAGAGGTATTCCGCAGGGAAGTGTATTGGGTCCTCTGTTGTTTTTAGTGTATATCAATGACATTGTTGATTTCAAGGATCAATGTGACATTTACCTGTTTGCTGATGATATATATATATGATATATTTTTCTTGTAAGGATTCAGATAACTTGGTAAGAGTTGTTAATGAAACACTGCAACATGTTTATAGTGTTAATATGTTGAAAATTTACACAAATAAAACAAAATGTATGCTGATAAGTAGCAACTATAGCCATACATAGTTTGTTGATAAACAATATAACTTAACCATTGGAGGAAATTCTATACAGTTAGTAGAAAAATTCAAATACTTAGGGGTAATGATTGACAAGCAGATGAGATTCATAGATCATGCCAACACCGTTATCAAAACTACTTATTGCATTTAAGTTAAATTTCCTATTTAGAAGTTCATTTGGCTTATCACAGTGGACTAAATGTATCTCTTTTTACTAAATCAAAATGAGTTGAACCGACTACAGAAGCTGCAGAATGTGTCAAAATGATCAAGGAGAGAAATGTACCATACATTCTGGATTATTTACCAGATAAAAAAAATTTATAAATTTGGTATAATATTTTTTACTTACCCTGTGAGTCACTAATATCTCATTCAATATGTGTATACAGTTACAATTTATAGACATATGTAGGCAATTAATTTTTAAGTGCTCACAATAATGTTCCTACCATTGCAGTTATGCGAATCTGAATTTTTGTTGATAGAAAAATGCATTATCAAGAATTGGAATTAAGCAGCTCAGATGTATACAAATAAATAATTAGTTATTACTCAGACATTTTACCTTTTTCTAATGATTTGATTCATACATATTGTAGATATATATACATTTTTGAGATAAAAGTATGACAAAAGAAAGATACAACTATTTTTAGAAATATCACGAGTAAAAAAGAAACATTTAGTGCACCATTTTAGTTCTGCATGCATGTGTTACATACATTTTTGTTTTGTACCCAGACTTGAGTGAAGTGAAATCATTTACAATTATATCAAACTTACTGGTGTTTGAGGTGTCATAGAACTCATAGGCAAAGTAAAGCCTGTTACGTATTTGGTATGAGGCATAGACATAGCATGGCCCATACCAAGACCGAGAGTAGGTGTTGTACCACCCATAGGGGCTAATGGAGGGACTTGCGAACTGCTAGTAGGGAGTTGGTTTTGTTGTTGCTGTTGTTGAAGAGCATTTGGTAAAATTAATTGGTCTTCTTCTGGTTGATGAAGAGGTGTGCCTATGAAAAAAAATGTTATTATCTAATGAAGGAGTAAGAGATTTTTACAATAATTACCAATACTGGGTATGCTGAAACCCGGACTAGGAAGCATCTGATCCATTGCTATAAATGGTAATTATACTTCTTAAAAAGAATGAAAAAATGTTTATACTTATTTAGAACACGCAACACAGAAACTCTTCAGATCCTTTACATTATATTATTAAAAATGAATGCCTTAGAAACTATGAATGATTTATAATTCACTTTAGATAAAACAACTTATTTGGCCTTCAAGTTTGTTTTTCTGTACGTTTTTAATATAAAATATAAATATTCAGTCTTTGAATCGTTTTTCATTTACTGACATTTCTTGATTGACGTTTTTCTGTTTTCATGTCAAATGTCAATCTGAGGTCAAGCACATGTCAAGCACTAGGAAGTTTATAGAAGGTCTTTTACTTTGCATCGAAAGTGTAGCACTTTATGCAAAATGTATGGATAGAACGATATTTTCAGAAGCGGCATAGCTTAGGGGCCTATTCAGTAACTCTGAACGACGTCGTTAATAGACGATAATCGTTCACAGACGACTTTTCTTATTCAGTAGATAACGATTGTCGTTGAAAATAGACAAATATGGTTGTAAAATTGTCGTTCATCAACGATAGCCACAGAGCTGTCGTTAATAATATGAAGTGTCGTTATAATGATTTTTGCATTCCCTCTCATTTTTCATTGTGAATTAGGATGTGTTCTAAATAATAAAAGCACTTTTTAGTTCTCAGTTTTTTTTAATACATCCCTACTCATTTAAATAAACCCTACATACAATACGACCAGCAAAAATGGGCGCGAGAAACAGAATTCCTACGAATCGAGAATAGACCCCTAATCGTGTTGTAGGTTAAGAACAATATTAATACCTATATTCTGAAAAACAAATGAATATATCTACTGGTAGAATTTGTATTTTATGTTCCAAAAAAATGTCAAAACTACCGGGTGTTCAAATTAAAATGTTACAGTTAAATACCGCCTTTTATAAAAACGAAAGTTTTATAGTTTTTTGGGGAAAACATTTTGGCTAAAATCATTTTTTATAGCTAACCATAATATGGCCAGCTTTTTTTTCACGCAGCAGTATGTGTTACTCAATAAGTAGAAGTCTAATAAAAAAATGTTTCGTTTAGAAGTTTTTTATTTTTTTATGAACTTTAAGAATACCTATGTAAAAAATAGGGTTCCAATTTGAAAAAAAAAATCCACCTCGATATGGCCATATTATGATCAGCTATAAAAAAATTAATTTAGCCAAAATGTTTCCCCTAAAAAACTATAAAACTTTTGTCTGTTACTTTTTTGTATAAAATGCATATTTTCGGCGATATTTAACTGTAACACTTCAATTTAAACACCCGGTATAATCATCAACATACGTTCTTTTATCACAAAACACTAAATTATAATACCAACTTACTAGAAATCATCGTTCAGATCAGGGGTGGGAAACTGGTATGCGCAGGTCAAGGATCAATCAACCACGTCCGCGTGGCGCTGCAGTTGGGTGGTGGGGTTGGTGGTGGGAGTGTAAATGACAGGTGAATATTGATTTTGGGGGGGTGTCATGGCGTCTTGGCTTAAACCAAACGTGTTTATTTATATTGGTGACTTGGTTGTGTTCAGTTGTGTTTTCATTTCCAATTTGCTTAATTGATTTAGTTGACCACTGTTAGTGAGCTTGTTTTTCCATTACAAATTTGTGCGTTTTGAACTGTTATCTTGTGCTTTTTCCGCTGTTATTTCGTGCCCAAAAAAATTAGCAGTAGAAGTAGTATAATTAGAAGTAAAAGTTCTAACAAAAAAAAAAACAACAAAAAACAAAACCCAAAAAAATTGGTAGTAGAAGTAGTATAATTAGAAGTAAAAGCACAAAAAAAACAAAAAAAAAACAAAACCCAAAAAAAATTAGTAGTAGTGGTGGTGGCAGTAGTAGTAATAGTATGGTGTTCGTTTTATGATTTTTTTTCAGTGAGAAACAGTTGTGACCTTTCTGGAATATGAAGCAGCTTAATCAGATATGTTGGACTTCTTTTCTAGAAGGAAAGTTAGTAATCTACTCATTTATTTTATACTTATACTGTGTATTTTCTGTTTCATGATGTTTGGGGTTGCAAAGCTGTATCGTCGAAGAAGAAGCAGACTAATAATACATGTTGGACTTCTTTTTGAGAAGGAAAGTTAGTAATCTACTCATTTATTTTATACTTATACTGTGTATTTTCTGTTTCATGATGTTTGGGGTTGCAAAGCTGTATCGTCGAAGAAGAAGCAGACTAATAATACATGTTGGACTTCTTTTTGAGAAGGAAAGTTAGTAATCTACTCATTTATTTTATACTTATACTGTGTATTTTCTGTTTCATGACGTTTGGGGTTGCAAAGCTGTATCGTCGAAGAAGAAGCAGACTAATAATACATGTTGGACTTCTTTTTGAGAAGGAAAGTTAGTAATCTACTCATTTATTTTATACTTATACTGTGTATTTTCTGTTTCATGACGTTTGGGGTTGCCAAGCTGTATCGTCGAAGAAGAAGCAGACTAATAATATATGTTGGACTTCTTTTCGAGAAGGAAAGTTAGTACTCTACTCATTTATTTTATACTTGCCGCGTTTGAGAATCCATATCGGATGCATTTTTTACATCTCAAGCGTTTTTTATCCACATCGGACACATCTGTTCCATTACATTTATGTATACTGAATGACATGATTAAAGATTTATTACATCTCAGATGCATTCGATGTGGATTCTCAAACGCGACATATACTGTGTATTTTCTGTTTCATGACGTTGGGGGATTGCAAACCTGTATCGTAGATGTTGGACTTATTGTCACGCTTAACGGTTAGGGGGTGGTAATTATTCTTTTTAATGTGATTAGGGGTCCTCGCTTGGCCTGAGAGGTAAAAATAGACAATCACCCACTTCCGCTAAGCGCGCTCTAGCCGATGTTAATCTCAAAAAGCTCAGATTAACTTCTTGGTTTAGAAGGAATCTGCGCCACTTAAGATAAACCTCGGGTGACTTAAATTACCGTATAAGGAACTAAACTAGTAATAATAGAAACACCATGTATAAAAAATTCACAAACACTTTATTAAATGTCCGTAATTAAAGGACTCAAAAGACAATCAAAAATCGATATAATAATAGTAATAAAATTTGGGGTCCTTACCTCATTGTCATGGAACAGTCACAATTTTTACTTTACTTTATTTTATTTTATTTTATCCCCAGAAATATTTATTAGTATTTATTTTGTATAATTATATTTTTATGTTATATATATTTTACAAACCCCAATTATTTTCTCTGTGATCGATTGCGACCACCTTTTTTGCCGTCCCGCAAAACTCTCAATGACCCCCTAAAATCAACCGACTAGGTTCGATTTCGCAAGACTTCCAAAATCGTCGAGTCAGCACAAAGTTCATTAGTTTTTAACTTAATTGTTATGAAACTATGAAATGCATTCTCTACGATTTAAAAGTATTTCGAAATCGACCTACTATTCAGAAATAATTTAACATACAGGATGTTAAATTATTTACTGAGCCGAATGAAAATAAATTAATTCCATTTAAGGAATAATTTAAAAAATAAAGTATTCCTCGGACTTATAATTTTTTATTAATCCATTTATTTTAATGAGATTGTACTTATACTGTCTTTCTTTTTTCACAGCTCAAGTTTTTCACAAAATGATGGACAGTGTTGTATCCTGGAATATGTAGCAGCCATCCAGCTACTTCATACATAATACAATTTTCATATACATTACATTTTTTAAATATTGGATTTGTATTATATATATTCTTTAATAAATTTATTTTTTGAATATTCTTGTTTTTTTTATCTAAAAACTGTTAGTCAAATTAAGATTTGTTCACACAAACTGCATTTTTGCTTTATTATAGCGATATTCGCTATAATAAAGCAAAAATGCAATTTGTGTGAACAAATCTTAATTTGGCTAACAGTTTTTAATGCGGATAATTTTTACTGTCAAATTTGAATAGCCCCGCGCTTTTCTTCTCTTCTTCTTTTTATTATTTTCTCTTCTTTCATATGGCCTCTTACTAGACAAGGACTTAATTGAAAAAAATCAACCACGTCCACCAGGTGCCGCTAAAAACTCTATCATCCTTTTTTAACATGGGAGTTACCGTTCTAAGAGTAAGTGTTCTGTGGTTCAGATTTGGTAACTAGAAACAACGTAACGACTTTGTTATTGAATAGAGTTTCAAAAATTATCGTTATAAAAGTCGTTGGTTGAACTGTCGTTAGCTTAACGATGTCGTCCATAAACGATAAATTACTGAATAGGGCCCTTAGTCAGAGCTTAGTGCTACACTTTCGATGCAAAGGAAAAGACCTAGAAAGAATAAAGTAAATAAAGGAAAAAGTAGCAAATACAGGTTTTATTCTTTTCAAATATAATTAGTATAAAATAACTATCATTATAATTAATAATTGTCTTTCACCTTGAAATTTAAATTCAAGGTCTGGTATCTATTCAATGTTATGGACAGAAGTTTCCTTTGTTTTTCATAAATACTTGTTTAATATTTAAGCAGTCATTTCATTACTTTATTTTACCCACATTTTACCGGCTACAGCCGGCTAGGATAGGAACGATAGAAATTGTATAGTTTACGAAAACTAATCCTTCATGACTAATATCACAAGTTTCACAGCATCCTTCAATGTGCTGTATGTGTAAAATTATATAAGAACTATAGAAACAAGAACTAAAGAAGAAGAAAATAACCTTTTTTTAAAAAGCTGTCAAATCAAGTCAAAAATTAGGCCGAATAGCCCTAGCAGCTGAGGCCTACAAAAAATGAAAAGAAGAAGAAGAAATCAAAAATATAACCTTACTATTTTAATTTTTAAAATTTTAAACATGTTTAGTTCTAAGGTAAAAAATAACGTTTAATTGATTTCAAATTTTATATTTTAACTTTTTTTAGATTAAAAAGTGCTTTCCTACATCCATTAATCAAAGATCAACCAATTTTTTATGTGCAATTCGTAATGCTGCTACTACTACAACACAACAAGAACCGGCAAGAGTAGAAAAAAGTTAGTTTTTACTGGAAGGTTATTTCAAAATGTTTAAAATTTAATGAACTATTATTTCAGCTATAAATGCTGTGCAATTGCTTGGCAGAGTAGGGGCTGACCCACAAAAAAAGGGCTCGGAGCAACATCCCATAGCAGTTTTTTCTTTGGCTACACATACAAACTACAGATACGAATCCGGAGAGTTTATGCAAAGGACGGAATGGCACAGAGTAGTCTGTTTCAAGCCCGGCCTCCGAGAAACGATATTGAACTACTTAAAGAAGGGTCAACGGGTTCATGTTACAGGCAAAATTAGTTATGGAGAAATTAAAGGTGAAGATGGAAAACCTAAGACTACGACGGCTATTGCTGCTGATGACGTTATATTTTTTAATTCTCAGCAGTAAATATTTTATAGATTAGTTTTAGAAACTTTTTGTACCTACTCTCAATAAACGTTTAAATTTTCATAATTATTGTTTCTTTAAAGATTATCACATGGTTAGAAAAACATCGATTGTTGATATAGTAAAAAAATATATTGAAACAAATATGTTTAACTTGTAACCCATAAAAATAAAAAAAATATAAACGTATTGTGGAGAAGAAAAATTAATCTGATGTGTTGCAAGTATCTATTTATATTTTATTTATTATTAAATATTACACAGCTACAATTGTTTGCTTACTAGATTAGAATTTAGAAATACTGAGTCATTGCAAATTATCTAAGTACATATGCATTTATTTTGTTTTAGAATCAAATTTCTACAACACCGTTCATTGTAGCTCCATAAAAGGTTATCACTGTTTTAATTAAAAATAAACGGAATTAAAAAAAGTTGTGGCGTAAAAAATAGGGAATAAGTTTGCCACTAACCCTGATATCGCCTCACTCGGGTGACTTGCTCGCCTACGGCTCGGGACGCAAACGTCACCCTGCGTGAATAATGGCTACCATAAATTGCTCGTTTAGTAATATACTATTTTTACAATAAGCAAATTCTAGTAAAACATTTGAAAAGAAAAAACAATTACCTAAACGTGTTTATTCACAAAGAGCGAACGAGATAAAAAAAAATGGGAGACCAAGAGCTGTCGTTTTAATGTATTTTTAACAACATTTAGAGATTTTGAATTCTTTATAGATGTGTTTCGGCTGTTTTACAGAACAACGGCATTGTATGAAAAGCTGCGATTAAAAATTGCAGTAGAATGACGAGGCATGGTTAATGTTAAATTATTTCTAATATTAACGTTGTGCATCAATGTTCTGAATATTAGTTTGTCTTTTAAATATGGTGGTATTGAAGTATTAATTATATTATATATTAGCGATAGGAACAGATATTTAAATAGGTTGTTAACATTTAACCATCCAGTTTGTGAAAAAGCGAATGAAATATGGTCACACTTGCGAAGGCCATTGACGAACCTACAACACGTATTCATTCTGCATTATTTGCAGTCGATTACGATTGACTGCTTTTAGACAAGGGTAATATATAATAATTCCGCAAAGAATTTTTGAAATTACTAAACTTTGACATAAGTTAGCTTCTATTGATTTATCTCTAAGAATGTATTTATTTGAGTAAAGTAATCGAAGTGCGCCGTAGCACTGTTGAAGAACATGAAATTCATTGAAATAAATGCCCCAAATTTTTTGCTTAAACATTCGATAGGAATCCTCTCCCCAGAAATACATAGGTTAACATTAGATTTTAAAATATCTTTGAATTTATTATTACAAAAAATTATTAATTTGGATTTAGAAGCATTTATGTATACGAGCCCATGTAAGCTCAATTAGATATTTTAACTAATATAAATAAAATCAGTGCTGAAAGTGACACATATGTAAGTTTTTTGACTATTTTTCTTTTATTTAATTTTAAGGAAAATTCGGCTAAACGTGCAGTGTTGCCACGTCTACGGCAATACATTTCTGTTATTTTTGATCGTTAAAGTTATATTGTGAGAAGTCCTTCCGACTTCTCTGTTTATTTAAATAAATCATTTAGTATGTGTATGACTTTTATTCGTGTGAAAGTGGTGAGTTGTACACAAACATTTTGCTCTCTTGTATTGGTTATGGCGGAAACTTTTCGAAGAAGTAACATCCCTCAACATTAAATATACAGTCCACTTGCTTTCCACCCTCTCCAATACAGCCTACTACATTCAAAGAATAAAAATTGGTTTTAAACACATTTTTGTTTGATTCTGATTACTGCATAGATAAATTAATAAATAGTAATTTATCTATGGATAACTGAGCACTTGCGAGGCAATATGGCCACTCGCGTTGAGCAATATATAGTGATGCAGCGAGATTAGACATTTTCGTGTCTCGTCTTGTCTTAACCAGACGAGAGAGACATTTTCTCTCGAAAAAAGATTCGAGACACAGTGTAATCTCTCGACGAGAAAATCTCGGTTCTCTCGAACAAATCTCGGTTCTCTCGAGCAATTTTCTTAAAGAGCGCATATATTGGTCACCATATTTGAAAAAAAAATATTTAAACGCGTTTTTGATTTATGGCAAGTTTTAATTTCAAACATTCAAGGTAACTTGGTAACTATAATAAGCCCACTTCATAGATTGCCGAGAGTTTTCTGGGGTAGAGTGTTTGTCGGTCGACTATATATTGCCACCTTGTGTGTGTACCTACATATTCTTTAAAAATAAAATACAGGGTGTTTAGGTATTATAATTGAGTGCCGATACTTTAAGGGTGTGAATCCTTGGTAATTTTAAGAAGAAAATAAGTTAATATAAACATATGTCATAAACCTCATAATTTTTGAGCGATGATGTTATACAGAGTATAATTAAGAAAAAAATTACTTTTTTATCATAATTTTCTTATCACTACAGATATTTTTATAAAAATTATGTACACACCTTTTAATCATTAAGGATAATTTTTTGACGTGAAATATAAGTTCCTAAATTTTTACTAGTGACGTCCGTACGGGGTTTGAACTGAATATTTTTGAAAGAAAAAAATGGTACGCCACTGCTTTTTCTAAAAACAAATTATTTTTGAAATTCTCATTTATTTTGGAGCAAATTTGGTACACAGACTTTCGTAAGACGCACCGTTTTGTGCAAAAAAAATAAAAATAAAAATTTTTCTTTTCATTAAAATAATCGCTTTTGATATAATAGATCCAGTGTCGTAGCCAGCCATTTTTCATGGGAGGGATTTTTGAGAACAAGAAAAGTGAATAAAAACAGTCAATTACGATCAGCGCCAATACTATAGCGGAAATCACAAAGCACATAGAGGTTCCACGTGAATGACCAAGGTCAAAACCGACAACTGACATTTGTTATGCTATTTGCTCCAAACTCTAGATGGGGCTACTGGTGAAATTATGATTTCTTACTCCATTTTTAAGCCTTATGGGAGAAAAACAACCAAAGACTCCAAAGATGTGACGTGTATTTATTTATACTCTTGGTTAGTTTCATTTTTCCGTCTGATTTTAGTGATTTTTTGTTGGCTTTGGCTTTTGGTTTCTGTTTATAGTTTCGTCTTAGTTATTTGCAAAATTGTGATGTTTCGCTTTTTTATTTCCTACTGTGTTTTGCAATAATTTTGGTGCTACGTTGAAAACTTCGAGAAAAACTTCATTGATTCACCATATATTCACCATGCATCTGCATCATAAAAAGACAAACGGGGACAACAATTTATCACTGGACTAGATTCCGAAATCATTTTTCACATAAGAGAGTAATACCACCATCTGTATTTGGAAGGAAAATACCTATTTATCATTGAATGAATAGTTAAAAGGATTCACCTTTTAATACAATACCTATATTACATTTGTCCTCAGTTAAAAAGACATTTATAAAATATATAACTTTAGTGTTAATAAAATGTAATATCCTAGTCTCTACTTCACATTTAAATTATTGATAGGTACCTATTTTAAAGATTTGAGATTATATATCTATTTGCTCCAAGTAAGTATTCGTTAAATATGTATTATTATTTGTATTTATTTTTATCTAATAATATTTATTTAAGTTATTAATAAACATATTTTAAGAATGTTCTATTTTATTATTTATTGATATATCTTATATTTATTTAATAAAAATATGCAGAACCAACTCTCCACATTAGACCCCTTATAACAAATTAATTCTTCGAATTTGGTATAATCGACATAAATTATTTTGTAAAATAAAAGTTTCGAACTTACTAGTTCCATACTTTATTTTATAAAATAATTTATGTGGAAATCATTTAAAATTTAATTTAAAACTACTACCTACTCCTAAAAATTACAATTTGAATTTACCGCCATCTGTCAATTGTCATTTTAGTTCCAGCTCCAAACACAAGGTGGCGCTAATTTGGTTTAAAAGTTTAACATTGGCGTGGGGTCTCTAGAAGTTGTGGCGGAAATGGTCGGGAATGGGACGTTTGGGCGTAGCCATTTCGGCGTAGCCGTTTTGGCGTGGCCGTTTGGACGTCGGCCATTTCGGCGTTAGAAGTTTTGGCAAACTTAACAATATAATTTTTATAAATTTTAAATAATTGTTATATTTATTATAATTAGGTTTATTATAATTAAACAATAAAACTGTTTTCGTGTCGAAAGGAAGACTAAAATAAAATGACTATATACTATATATATTGCTGTTCGGCAGGTAGGTCTTCCGCTAGAACATCAAAGGCATAATCTAAATGATCGTATAGGAACAAATGCCAAAGATATCACCGTTCTGCCATTTAGAGAGAATTGTAGATCAGCATTGTACTCTCTCGTATGTCCCATAGAAGCCACTTGTTTCCTCATATTTTGGGCCAAGTGAAAAAACAACCATTTATAGTAACGCCTGTTCGAAATCGCAATATATTACTCTGGGTTGCAAATTTGGAACAACTTCTTTACTTCACTATTATTATACTAATGTTCATATAAAATATTAATTACACTAATATTAATTACACTACTATTATAATTCTGATAGGTACTTGAAAAACAGATTAAAACTTACAGGGGTTTTAACATACATACTAAAAAATAGTATTATTCCCGAGCCGACGCCGAAACGGCCAACGGTGAAATGGTCTGACGTCCAAATGGCCACGCCGAAACGGCCACGTCCAAATGTCCCAAACCCGAAATGGTCGACGCGAGGACCCTCCAGTGGGGGGGGCGGGGGGTTTTGAGCCCCAAAACCCCCCTCGTGGCTACGACTGTCCCTGATACAAAAGAGCAGAATAATGCCGCGTTTGAGAATCCACATCGGATGCATTTTTTATATCTCGAACGTTTTTTATCCACATCGGACACATCTGTCCCATATTACATTTACGTATACTGAATCACGTGATCACAGATTTACTACATCTCAGATGCATCCGATGTGGATTCTCAAACGCGGCATAAGCAAATGGATTTGGCACATACTTGAAAATCAAAGAATGTGGGATTTGGT